AAAGGAAAAAAGATCATAGTTTTTGCATATTGCGGCATATTAGACTACATCCACCTGCAATTATTATCGCTTCTTTAGCAGCTGCTGTCTCAGTTTTATTACATGAGATGAATTTGTCCCTCGGTACTAGAGGTACAACTATATCCAAAAAGTTAGTCATGCTGCCTAGGGGGTTGTAATCAATTCCAAATTTAAGAAAAATTACAATCAATATATGATGTAGGTGATGCACKCCACATTTCAATAAACACCACGTCCGGGGTTGTTCAAAGCTCGYATTAGCGCAAATTGTGGGCTAAATCTTTAAAAACCTATGGGATTAACCCTGGATTAACGCTAATCTGGCTTTGAACAACCCGGCCTAGAAGCATACATATCTGAAGATAGTATTTGTTTGTTTCTAAGAAAAAAAACGCTTCTTCAACAATATTTCTTACCTCAGGTTATAATAGAATCTCCATGTCTCAAGTATGTTAAGGCCTGGTTCAGGCCAGAATTTGGTGCAAACTTTGAAAATTCATAAACTCTCGACACATAAGCTTAACAACACCAAATTCAAGACACAATTAGAATTCAGCATTTTGAACTTCCTTAAGACGAATCCCTGTCCTTAAACTGATCACGTGATCAACCACGTGATGGACAAGTTTTGAAGTTTAATTTAAAATGCGGTCGCCAGTATAGAGTAGATACTAAAACAAACAAATGAAACCATTTTCTTTTTTAGATATTAAGACAACATCGTTGTTAAATCTTGTCTAACAATTTTCGTTAAGGAGATATTTAGGAAAATGGGTCACGTGACCATTCCTCGAAATTACGTTTTCTTGATTTTCGAAATATTTAAAATCTTGAGACAAGCTTTGAAAGCGACATCTTTTTTTAATGGCAACCCTTAACTATTTAGGACCGAAATGATTTCATTTTGTATTAAACTCACGACCGCATTTTAAAAATATTAAATTTCTAGCCTTAAGGTCACGTGACCACTTGATGTCAATATTGAACACTCTAAATTGTCACAAACGTTAAATGAAAAATTGTGTCAAAACATGAATACAGTAGATGAGAACCATATCGAGTTATACACAAAAACACTGTTTTCAGCCTAGCCTCTGTGAACCAGGCCTTAACGTACTCGAGGTGGCTTTTTAATAGATTACGTTTTGAGTTTGGCATGTCCTCTTATTGACAAACTTAACGCCCTTACAATTGAAATTTGACAATTCAACTCATAACGCAGCGAGTTGATTCACTGCAAACAATATACGAAAAATATATAACATAAAGACGAATGCATTGTTCAATTTATGTACCACATCCTTAGTTTAAAAATTAGCGATTTT